GTGTGTATGTGTGTGTATGTGTGTGTATTTGTGTGTATTTGTATGTGTGTCTTATTAACAAAGCTTTCTTGCAACAATTTCTCATCCTGAATCAGTGTTAATTATTGCGAATGAAAAGAATGTATTTCCAACATTATTTCAAATTCAGATCAAAAATTCCAACTGTTTAAGTCACACATCAAATAATTTTGTGAATAGAAATTGTAAGATACAATAATATTTTGACATATCTTTTAATTCTCTTCCTTGAAAAAACATCAGTGAAATTAGCAGGAACAGTTTATTTATAAGATTGTTGGAAGAAATATCTTGTTGGGTAATGTGTTCGTATCAGTGATATTAATACTTGTTATTAAGGAATATTAGCAATTATTATAATAGCTTAGCAGGAAAACTAATTAGGATAACAGTCAACATTTCCAATTATGAAATAGCTTTTTTTCTTTTTTTTTTGAAAAATAAAATTTTCCGGTATTGTTAATAATATCCAATAATAGAACAATGCTAATTTCTATCACAATTTGAAGTAATACATTGATAAGTACTTGCTATTATTAACCCTCTCCAATAATCCTCTTTTTGTCACTGTAGTAAGCAAACTCATTATCATAACTAGTCAACGGAATCATCACAAATGATTTAAAACTTTTTGATTACCAAATTTAACATTAAATTAATTTTTTGATCTTAATATATTGAAAGTGCAACATTGTTATCCATTCCAGGAATTACCATATCCTTTTTCCTTCTGCCTCTTTTTTTTGAAAGCTAATTTAAAGTTGAAGCAATAGGATTAGTGATGATAATAGGATAAAACATCAATTCCAGCATATCGATGCAGTTCTTGCGATGATAGTAATCCGTTTGGTATTCATTGTTATCGGTTCAGAATTTCAGGAAAGAGAATAAGAGTAAATTTTTCATACATTTACAAGGTATAAGGAGGAGGGAGCACTGATAACAGTTGTGTGTTTGTTCTAAAATCTTGAAGCATATGTGTAATGGTCTCTCCTATGCTTTCCTACCGTTGGTAATTAAAGTAGTTGCAATAGCAGCCGCAGCATCAGCACCTTAAGCCTTTACTTTGAACCAATTCAAGCTTGTAACCGATCATTTCAACAGTTGACCCTCTCCAAAATAATCATTCCGATCAGCATTATCACTTATTAGCTCATCCTTTTAGT